TAGAGGGCAGTGTCACTGGCCCTCATATGTGGGATCCGAACCGGGGCCCTCTGGCATCCCAAGCGAGTTCTTAACCATCGCGCCACTCGGCCGGCCCTCAATTATTTCTTTGAGTAGGCTCTCTGTTCTCTTCTCCTTCTGGTATATCTATTATTCTTATGGTGCTCTTTCTAATTTAGTCAGATAGTTCTCGTAGACGTCTTTCATTGTTAAAAAGCTCTTAGTTCTCTCTCTTCTTCCTCCTGGGTCATTTCTAGGTTTCTAACTGCAAGCTCACTAATTCTCTCTTCCATCTGATCTGCTCTATTTTTAGTGCTCTCTAGTGTATTCCTCATCTCCTTTATTGAGTTCTTCAGCTCCAGAATTTTGTTTTGGTTCTTTTTTATAGTTTCAATCTCTTTGGTAATGTATTCCTTTTATTCCTTATTCCTGGGCTCACTGAACTGACTCTGTTTTCCTGTATATTGTTGAGTTTCTTCATAACTGCAATCTTGAATTTTCTGTCATTTAAATCACTATCTTGCATGACTTTGAGTTTGGTTTCTAGAGACTTCATTTTCTTTCTGTGCTCCCAAGTTACCTTGGTTGTTCACAGTATTTGGTGGATTGTTTCTCTGCCTGCATATTTGCGGTAGTGAACTCTTTTCTTGTTTAATACTGCTTTGCTCTCAACAATTTGGCAGGTCGATATAGGTAGTGTACTTTCTTTTTTTTTATGCTGATTGGGGCATCTCAGTTCTCTTTACCAGGCTCTCTCTGCTAAGTGTGGGGCAGGGGATGTAAATTTGTAATCTCATGGCTCCACCCCCTTTCCAGTAATGGCGGTCAGCTGTGTTATTTTAAGCTTCCCAACCACCTCTACCCGCTCTGCCAGGATAGGGAAAGGAAAGAGAGATGCCTTGTCAGGAGAGAAACTGTTTCTGCCCCTCCTACACTCCAGGTCATAGTGTGAGTGGCTGCAGCCTGACTTCTCTGCTACCACTACAAGCTGCAGTGGGTGCTGACTTGCATCAGCGGCCACCATCTGTGACCTTCCCCCATTCCACTTTCTGTGTTCATTCCAATACACCCACCTTTAAATATCTCCATGTGTGGATCTTCTGGGCATGTTTGTGTGTTGAGCAGGGGATCCTTCATTGAATTATAGTTGTCTGACTTGTTGTAAGTTTAAGTGGAGAAACAATGGAGTCTACTTACTCAGCCATGATGCTGATGTCACCCTGGGCCACTCTTATTTTCTAAGTTAGATGTAAAACTACTAAATAAAATGTGAGCAAACAAACCTAGAATTATACTAAAAGAATAACTCATAATGGCCAAATAGAGTTCATCCCAAGCATTCAAAAGTGCAAAATTAGAAAAAAATTCAGGACATTGACATGTGAAGAAAGTAAATCATAGGATCATTTCACTAGGTGCCAAAGCATATGAATCTCTTTCCTATGTCTGCAAAATCCTTCAATTTATGAATCTTTGAAGAAGCAGAACCTGCCTCCCATTACAGAAGCTGAAAATCTCAAACGCTTCCTTTCCTGGACCCCCTTGCAGCTAGGTTACAGGCACATGACCAATCAGACTCACACCCATACTTTGAATCAGACGCTAGTATCACAAAGGAATAAGGGTGGAGCAGGATTCTCTCTCTGTAGCAGGGAGGTTGTGATAACATTGAGTTCCTGGCTCAGCAGCTGGAGTGGTGCAAGCTTCAGTGACCTGATCTTGCAGCAGAAGCAGAGTTTTGCTCACCGGACTGGTTCTGCAGCCTGGTTCTGCATACTGTTCCTGGCTACACAGTTCCAAGTCTGGTTCTCTAGCCTTCACTGACAAGACTGTGAAGTAACCAATGTGTTTTTAATAAATTCCTTTTCAGCCTATATTAGCCAGACCATTTTTCTATTGCTTACAACTAAAAACACTGATAACATTGCAGCAAAAATCAACAGCCTCAGGGGCTTTATTCCACATCATGGCCTCTCTCTGTGCAACTTTCAACCTTACTTTCTGCTATTTGCTGCCTCATTTTCTCCAAATTTTCAAATACTTTTTTGCAGCCCAAAAATTATATAAATGGCAAGTCTACAGATTAACTGTATCTGGCTCAAGTGTCCACCCTTTGTCCAGTCACCAGTAGTGAACAGATAGGGGCAGGCTCATGTGGATGCATGGGAGACAGTAGATGAGGCATTTTTATCATAGAAGGGGCAGCGGTGGCCCCTTCAGACATGGTGGCTGAGTCTCTGAAACAGGCACCTAACTTGGTGTTCGGAAGTCCTAAATGGTTTTCTAGAGGGAGAAATTCTAGGCTGGAATTTTCCAGATAAGTAAGAGTTACACAGAAGGGGATAAGGGGTAAGAAGAGAGTCTAGGTACAAGAAACAGAATGGTCTAGGGCATAGGGTGGAGTGTTAAGAGAGGGTGCTGGACAGGTAGGCAAGGGTCAGATCACACAGGGCTCGATGGGCCATGTTAGGGATCTTAGACTTCTTTCTGAGAGCTATAAGGAGCTACTGATGAGTTTCAAGCCGTGGAAGGATTTGAGCAAATCTGAAGTTCTGAAAGACCACTACGGTCAGGAATGGGAAGAAGGAGGGAAATTAGAAAGCAGGAAGACCAGATGGGAAGCTGTTGCAGTGAAACAGTAGAGAGAAGATGGCACTCTGGACTACAAATGGTGCCAGGGGAAATGGAAAGAAGTGGATTTGGGGAAAATTAGGAGGTAAAACCAGCGGGACTTGGTGACAGGTTGGATGTGGGGATAAAGGAGGGAGGAATTATGGGTGACTATCAGAGATTTTATTTGTATTGGTTGAATGGCTAGATAAATAAGTGGATGATGGTGCCATTCACCGGGGTGGACAACACAGGAGGATAAGCTACTTGGAGAGAGATGATGAGCTCAGTTTTGAATACATTGTTTTAGTGCCTTTGGGACATCCAAGAAATCCAAAAGGCAGTGGGACATATGTGTTTGGATCTCAGGAGAGGGGTCTGGGCTAGAGATAAAGATCTGCGAGTCACTAGAGTATAGGTGATGGTTGAAGGCAAGGAAGTGGATGAGGATCATCTCAGGTGTTTGTGTAGCATAAGAAAAGACGAGGGCCAAAGAAACAAAGTCTGGGGGCAGGTTAATTGTCATGAAGGGCAGGGGAAGAGGAATCCACAAAGATGGCTGAGAAGGGCCAGCCAGAGAGGTAAGAGGAAAACCAGGAAAATTGGTGTCATGAGTCCTAAGGTGGGTGTGGCCATGGGTATGCAGGCTACAGAAAACAAGTAAGATCATAATGGATAAGTGTCCAGTGGATGCAAAGGGGTGGGAGGCACTGGAGACTCTGGCAAGAACTGCACCAATGGAGGAGTGGAGGTAAGAAACCAGCCTAGAGTTGGGTGAGAAGGCAGCGGGAGGTGAGGGTTAAAATAAGTCAACTCTAGGGCCGGCCGAGTGGCGCGATGGTTAAGAACTCGCTTGGGACGCCAGAGGGCCCCGGTTCGGATCCCACATATGAGGGCCAGTGACACTGCCCTCTACAGCTAAGATGCTGAACAACA